AAATTAGGGACGGCTATCGCAGATAGCCCTCTTGTACCTTTGCGCGAAATTCAAAAACAAACAATCGGTGCTCTGCCCACCACGGGTATCGAAACCCGGATTCTAGCGTTGTAAGTCCGCAGACACACCGCTGTGCCACTGGGAGAGGGGACTATTCAATAAATAAAAAAACACCTGAAAATACAAAACATTTGAATTAATTTTACCTGGAATTCTTTTAACATCCTCCATGTTTCTGGGTGTTTTCAAAGCTTTTCGGGAGGTATCTGCACTAGCCGTTCTTGATATAGCTAGTCAACAATACCCACCGCCAACTCATGGGCTACTCTTGACCGAAAAGTAAGATATGACCATCACCCTCATCCCACAACCAAAGCCCCAAACTGCAGAGTGCGAAGGTTAGACCCGCAAATCCATAGTGCGGCACGCTCATCACAGGGCCACGCTCAGTCTTTTTTTCGGGTATGGTCTAAAAGTGTTACCATGATTAAGCTCAGACGAAAAATAATGCAAAATTATATTTAAATGTGTAACGTATTTTTTTATATACAAAACAGACAGGTAGATAGACATAATGAAGTGTTAAAACTTTTTTTTTTTTTGAAACAAGAAAAGTTTTACTTCAATCCGAATAAGGAAGTCCGGGAGTATTCAATGTCGTGCTTGTAGCTGCTACGTACCGTTTTAACACATCCACAGAAAAACAGAAACAAACTGAAACGGACACAGGATTGTGATTGCTTGCATCAACCATCACTAATTTGAACAAGCTACAACAGGGTTCGTGACTTACGAGGGAGCCACCTAACGTCTACTCCTGGAAATCCCATCACGCGGGTTCATTATTATTTCACTAAATTCTGGATAAAAAAAACTGGATTCACATTTGTGATTGTGAGAAAGATGCTGGGCAGCGTCTGCACGTTTCTAAAAAGTAATATTTTAAAAACCGGCTGGGGCTTTAGTCATCGGAAAAGGGTGGAAAGCTATTCTCACGATACCAAAAGATGTACTTTACTTTTTATCAACCTCCAAACCTTTACAAAAAGCTGGTGAATCACAATCCTTATGAGAGAGTGGAAAAATTTTTTTTAATTGTGTAACATACACTTATACTGTAATTAAATAATGTATCCATAACGATGACCAAAGAGTTAACCTTATATAACTTTCTGGTCAAAAGTTCAGGTATGTATACAATATACTTCTTGGGTCAGAATATCAAGTGTGTATACGGTATATATATTTTGGATCAAGACAAGGCGGAGTTTTGTATATTAAAAGACAAAATATAGAATTTTAATTTTTTTTGCAAAGTATTTACTTAAACTAGATTGTTATTAATACCAGCTGTTAAAGTACAGAAGTTAAACCTAAGAACAGCACTAGACGCAGTTAACCCTCTACAGTACGAATTATGAAAATACAGTGGAAAAAATGTTTTATTTGAATTTTTTATTTATACAGATTCATAATGCACGCTATTTTTCGTGCTATTTTGCGTTTTTGTGAAATGTATTTTGGGAAGTTATAAATGTATATATTGATAAACCAACAAAAATAATTCCATGGTTTATTTAGACTTACTTGGAAGTAAGAGCACTCAACTACAGAATTGAAGCATTTATATGTGTATCAAGCAGAAAAGATAGATTTGTTACCTGTACGTTACAATGTGCAACAGAGGATTAAAGTGCAGACATTAAGCCTAAATGCTGCTTTAGTCGATGTTGAATTGCAGAAGTTAAGCTTCGATATTGCTTCATTCGCTGTTGAAGAGCAGAAGTTAAGCCTAATAATTGCTCCAGACGCTGTCAAAATGTGCACATTAAGCCTAAATGTTGCTTTAGTCGCTGTTAAAGTGCAGAAGTTAAATGTAAAAGATGCTCTAGACGTCACATTATAGCCAACTCTCTCCAACACAAAATCACGGTTTCTTTAATATTATGTCTGATGATTTTAATATAAAAACATTTATCAAAATATACACAGTAAGTTACAAAAACTCGTACAGTTTTTTATAATGAACAGAAAACAGAGGAATATTAAAATACATATAAAATGGAAATAACTCGTATAAATAAGCAATTAGAAGTACTTTCTTCGAGAGTTAGCGTTTCGAAATGCTCACCACTTTGAAGATCTCCAACCTTGCGTTCTGCCTCTTCTAACTTTTTTATTACTTCGAGATGTGTTTCTTGTAACTGTCTTTCCTTTTCTTTAAACGTTTGTTGGAGTTCCCATTCTCGTTCCTGCGTTCGAAACTAGACGACAGAGAAAATGTTTGGCCTTAAGATTTAATCCCGCCGTGGCTCTTTTACTAGTGGCTCAAGCGAAGCAAAGAACATAAAAGGTTTACCGTCTAACATTCAACAGTAGTCAAACAATTTACCCATAATTCCTCATAAGAAACACAAATTTAGATCCTTGAAAGTTATTCAGTGATTCCAGCAGAATGACTTAATTTGCTCTGAACATCAAGAAAAGTAAAAATCCAGTCAACTCTAGTTCATCGTCAGGGGAAATAATAAAACAATAATATATTGATAAGTTGAAAACCAGAGACAGAAATAATGAAAAACCTCTGTTTGACTGTGTATATTTCTATCCGTCTGTCTTCGTTTCTTTCTTTCTGTCTGATTATCTGTCTATCTCTGTGTCTGAGTATCTATCTATCATTTTGTCAGTCTTTCCATACTCATTTCCTAATCTTGTGTATCAGAATTTACATTTGTGTACATGCGCATGCGTACTGTAAGTAAAACAGACATATATATGTGCACACGTGATCCCACTTTTACGTGGGTGGTATCACGTGATTAGAATCTTAAAGCAATCATCTAATGAGAATTAAAGTAAAGCAGTATTACAGTCGCCCACCTTCAGGCTAGAAGAAGAAAGGCTTATTTCACAACACGTTTATTTCCCGCCTCCACGTGATCTTAGCGCCAAATCCGAGAAAAAAACAACAGAGATATCGAAACCATCATATTAAATAATGTAAGCTTTATCCAAGAAAACTAAAACAACGTATATGACGTAGGCTTTATCCAAGAAAACTAAAACAACGTATATGACGTAAGCTTTATCCAAGAAAACTAAAACAACGTATATGACGTAAGCTTTATCCAAGAAAATTAAAACACGTACAAACGTAAGCGACGTATATGACGTAAGCTTCATTACATAAAACACGTACAAACTAAAACAACGTAGATGACGTAAGCTTCATTACATAAAACACGTACAAACTAAAACAACGTAGATGACGTAAGCTTTATCCAAGAAAACTAAAACAACGTATATGACGTAAGCTTTATCCAAGAAACTAAAACAACGTATATGACATTTGTACGTGTTTTAGTTTTATTTGATAAAGCTTACTTAAACGACGTATATGACGTAAGCTTTATCAAATAAAACTAAAACACGTACAAACTTCAACGACGTATATGACGTAAGCTTTATTAAATAAAAATAAAACACGTACAAACTTAAACGACATATATGACATAAGCTTTATCAAATAAAACTAAAACACGTACAAACTTCAACGACGTATATGACGTATGCTTCATTACATAAAACACGTACACGACATTTAAGAATAGCATCCCATCAATTCGTTGTTTATTAATCCAAATATCACTAAAGATTTCTATACTTTCCTCTAAATGTTCTAATGATTTGTGAAATGTTTCATCTTCTAGCGTTTTAACTACGCCAGGTTTCTCATTTCATGCGTTTTTTGAACAGCATGACGCGTCTCATAAAGTTGTGTGAAGTTTGTTGAATTTCGCCCAAATACTACACAAAAGCTATCCGCGCTAGTCCTCCCTAATTCTGAAGTGATAAACTAGAGGGAAGACAGCTAGTCAAAACCACACACTGCCAACTCTTGGACTACTCTGATTAACCGTAACATTATAAAGGGCAAGCATGTTCGGTGACGAGGTGCGATCCCGAGTTGCGAGTCAAGCGCCCTAACCACGAGGCTATGACAGGCCCATTCTGGGAAGTCTTTCATATAGTACTTTTAACCGTGTGAGCCGAATCATCTAGTGTTTTAACCGTGTGAGCCGTATCATCTAGTGTTTTAACCGTGTTAGCCGTATCATCTAGTGTTTTAACCGTGTGTGCCGTATCATCTACTGTTTTAACCGTGTGAGCTGTATCATCTAGTGTTTTAACCGTGTTAGCCGTATCATCTAGTGTTTTAACCGTGTGAGCCGTATCATCTAGTGTTTTAACCGTGTGTGCCGTATTTATATAGTAT